ATACGAGAAACATACTTTTTGAATCATTGAAATCGGTCCATTCGTTGTGTTGTGATGATATTACACGTTTTATAAACGACTACCGCGGGGCGGCCTAAAAGCCCGTGTGACGTCACAACATCTGATCCCGCCTTCATGTAAGTGAGGTTTCTACCATGAAGATAGAAGCTAACCTAGGTCACTTTACACAACAACGGTTTCTAGTTTATTTTTATAACTCATTATTATTATATCATCGAACTAATTAATTATTAAGCATCAACGTTCCGGGAAGTCTGCAGTTTGCGATCATATTCTAGATGGCCCCAACCATTACATCAGATTTGATAGACCACAAATCCTCGCGAAAGAACATCGATTCCTACCAAGGATGATACGTGAGGCTATTGAAATTAAAAAAACATCCTAATTTCAATAGAGAAGGAGGCTGGGTACTACCACCTGCATGGGATCCTATAATTAATAAAATTAAAACTAAACCCAAGCATACCACTGCAAGACTTCAAAATACAGTTAGTTCATTCTGCGTAGATCGGACCAAAGACAATAATTAAAAAGCTGAAGGTACTCCGGGTTAACTTTGACATCGGGACGTCAGTCACCTCAGTCCCCCGTGACCATGGGTGCTGGAAAGCACCCGAAACGTCGGGTATTAAAATTAATATAAATAAAACGCGATAAAATCCGTAAAAGTAGTTTTAATCAATGTAATTTTTATTTCAGGTGGAGAGATTGGGTTTGTCGAAGGTGCACATTTGTTATATAAATGCAAAAGCTCAAAAGGAGATTATCATGATGAGATGGACAGCAATAACTACATAAAATGGTTAAGTGAAAAATTGATCCCAAATTTGCCACCCAACAGCATTGTAGTTATTGACAATGCTCCATATCATAGCAAACAATTAAATAAGCCTCCCTCAATGGCGTCTCGCAAGGAAGAAATGCAAAACTGGTTGACTTCAAAAAATATTGCGTTCGATGCCCGCATGACAAAGCCAGAGTTGTATTACTTGATAATTCGAAACAGACCAGAAAAAGAATATTTAGTAGACAAACTTTGAGGGAAAGCGGCCACGAAGTTCTCAGACTGCCGCCGTACCAGTGTGATCTAAACCCTATTGAGTATATTTGGAACATAATGAAACAAAGGATCGCCGACAAAAATGTGAAACAGTCAGAAAGGCTTATCGAATCTTTAACCAGGGAGGCCATACAGTCAATTACGCAAACTGATAGGAAAAAGCAAATTAACCATGTAGACCGGTTACGGCAGAAGTACTGGGAGAAACAAGGACTACAGACGCCAGAGAACTAATAATAAATATAAACGATGGCGACAGTGATGATAATACATCAGATTTTGAAAGAATTTCGGGGATTGAAGAATTGGAGTCAGATACTGATTCAGAATAAGTACTGTCACGCATCAGCTGGGCGCTTCGAGAGCACTTTTAAAACCTTGACCCGTTATCTGTAGTAACTTTTCTGTCGTTTATTAAATTCATTAAAATAAGTGCTGGCAAAGTCAAACATTTGTTATATAAATGCAAAAGCTCAAAAGGAGATTATCATAATGAGATGGACAGCAATAACTACATAAAATATTAATAATAAACATAAATTGTGTGTCTAATAAGTACCTCCGATCTAAAAAATCCTAAAATCAATTTACCTAATAGGCATTGCTGACCTAATTTCAGAATTTTCTTTCCCAAAAATTTCTGAAATTCTAAATACCATAAGTATCGTAATAACTGAAAATAACCATTCACTTATTTTCGTTTTAGTGGTCGATACATAACACTATGATGCAGTTAAATTCACAAACGTAGCTATTGTAATTAATTAAAATAAATAACTACGAGTAGTATATACTAGTACTCATACTATGTATCACCTGGTATTATACAGATGAAAGTGTTCCCCTCACTAGTCCTCAAGCCGCCATGTTCAGAATGCGCCTAATTGTTTTGGTAGCGTAGTACAGCAAACAAACTTTTTGTTCCCTTCTTATATTTTTATAAATTAAAGTAACCCATTTTTAGTTTCTTTTTTATAATATATTAGTGCATATCTACGTTGCATAGTTTCATTTAAATATAATATTGAACGGACACGACATCCTCCGTGTTAAAATCTTCTCGGTTTAGTGACGAAATTACTCCGTATACTAAAATTATCAATACTGTTATTGTTTGAGTTGAACAGTTATGTAGTTTATAAAATATAATCAACAGTCCCAAAAAATAAAACTACATTAACTAATATATAAACAAAAAAATATAAATTCTATGCGGACGAAGTTACTTGTAACTAGTTATTGTAATAAAAGTAAGAAAAAAGTGGGAATGAAAATTAAAACGTATTTTTGGGTCTCTTCATTTAAAGGACGTAACAAATACAAGATAATATTATTTTTGTGTTGGCTGCCATCTAGTTAACTACCGGATAAAGCAATACATGACTGTCTTTATGATTTAACCAACGACTCTTGTGCCATCTTGGCAAATGTTGCGTAGATTAAAATTAGTTGAACTCATAAATACCACAGGTTTTGTGCTTTTACTAGGCTGCACTAAAAGTATCGGGAATGGAATATTTCCACTGTTCCAGTTATATTAAAATCTTTTTAATTGAAAATTCCTTGGTTTTAAAAATCGAAAACCATTTATTTATTTAAAAAAAGATTCTCGGTCTTGTCACAAGGTTTTGTCAAACTTGTTTAGTCGTTGAGAAAATGGAATTGACTCGAGAAAATTCAAGAGCGATGATTTATTATGACTTTCGAAGTGGTTTAACACAAAAACAGTATGTTGACCGGATGATTTCTGCATTTGGTGATGAAACCCCATCCAGAACCACAATTTATCGCTGGTTTGCTGAATTTCAACGTGGACGTGTCAAGCTCAGTAATGATCCCCGTCAAGGTCGTCCAAAAACTGCAGTCACCCAAGAAAACGTTGATGCTGTGCGTAAGCTGATTGAGGAAGATCGACATGTGACATACCGCGAAATTCAGGCAACTTTAGACATTGGCATGAGTCAAATACAAATAATCTTGCATGAACAATTAGGTGTAAAAAAGATGTTTTCCCGATGGATACGAACGAAACAAAAAACCAGTCACAAGTTTGGGTGTTCGAAAATGAGTTAAAGCCAACAAAAATTGTTCGTTCACGGAGAGTTGAAAAAAATGGTGGCCACGTTTGTCTCCAAAACCGGTCATGTTACGACTATTCCTCTTGAGGGACAAAGAACGGTTAATGTAGAATGGTAAGGTAACGGAACCCGTAATGGACAGTTTAAGACCAGCTTTTTACGTTTTCTACTATCTTTTGTAGATAAACGTTAATGTTAATGCAGTTGAGGTTGCAAGCGATTAAAAAAAACTTATTATTGAAAACTACACTATTTTTACAACTTTTATTATGCAAGGAACAAAATAAAACAAGTAATTTATATTAATCAGTCTCATACTTTTTATTGAGCACAAAACTATTAGTTTTTGTAATTAGAAACATAAAAGCAAGTAAAATAAACTTTAAAGAAAAAATATCCGGTAATTATTTTTCCATTTCTTTAATTTTATAGAACCCCCCTTTATTCAGGAGCAAAAAAAAAGGGTCATTGATTTTCTCTATAACATATTTTGCCTTGTGCCATATTTTATCTGGCTTATCTGGACATATCCAGAAAGAGTGTCCTACACATAATACCGGTATACCTATTTCATATAAATTTTGTTCTGTTTTTTTGTATTCTACATGGAAAATATTCTCCATCATATTTTACAATAACGTAGGAGCCATTGGTAACACCTATAGTTTTCTTCGTACACTAAGTTTTCTTGTGAGAAATTATTTTACTTAAAGGTTTATTTACAGAGTCTGATTTCCCACTTTGAGCATATTCGGCATTGATTTATATAACACTAGATCAGTAATAACCGCGCCAAAGCGTTGCCACTGCACATATGGCCACATCCATATGCCTAGCTAACGTGAGTTCATTGTTCAATGTGACGCCGACAGAGTTGAGCCGCGACAAAAAAACAAAAATGGGTAAATGCGTAGTGAAATAATGCTATTCAAGGTTACAAAAACGTAATAAATCAAGCGGAATCACTTTCAGCACATAATTTTTAGTTCTTGTTTTCATATAAACGTAAAAAACCTCAAAATAATTAAATAAAATTATCGAATATTGCCATTTAGGTTTAATGTTGCCACTTTTCCGCATTTGTGATTATAATTAATGGAGTAAGATATTTTGTTACCTCTGATTTTAAATATTTTGGAAATTATAATAAAAACTACGTTTTAACTTTCGTACAAAATAATTAATTATTTTTATTTTAGTTTATTCATAAATTATCTATTAAATATATTTTATTACCTATTTTATATTAATTATATTTTATTACCTATTTTACATTGTTTGATTTATTAGTAACATAAAAATACGTTTTATTTCATCATTATGTTTACTTATATTCATCTGACAAGCTTTGTATCCTTTTTTCTAAGATATGTAATAAAGATTTTAAAATAAAATATACTTTTTTTAATATAAAAACAATTAACTGCAGCTTAAAAAAAACTCATTTTTATTGCGCATTTTAGGTAAAATTTCATATAGTAAGCCACACCAACCCGCCATTGCATGTTTGTGTGTCTATCTTATCTTAGCGACGATATTGTTTTCGCAACTTGTGTAATTGAGATAGATATACGTTTACTTAAAATTGTTATTAGTTTCAAAGCTACGTCGTCGCCGACTCGCGGTAATGTGGTTTGCTCCTCTAGTGTTGTATAACTCAATGATATTCGGAGTCACCGCTTTCGGCATACTCAACTTCCATGTCTTCATTGTCATCAGCGGAAAACAAATCTTGCCGCCTTATATTTTTCGTTAGTTTTTGTTCTTGTTTCTTCTAGAACCATCTTTTTCTTCTTCCTTTTTTCGTTTCATTTTCGATTTTTTTTTCATGTAATCTTTTAAGTTTCACTAGTTATAGCTGACGGTACAAGTTCCTTGATACGTCGCTTCTTAGTTCCAGGTTTGGGCCAAAATAAGACACCTTTTAAAGGTGACGGTATTACCCAGTCTTTTGGTAATGTTGTAGAGGTTGAATGATACGACACTGGTGAATTCGTTATAACAGATTTATGTGGTGTAGCATATACTGTTGAGAAAGATTGCTCATTGTTTCCTTGTCCAGTTGGGTGATCGATTATTTTTTTGTCCTGTCCTTGTGCATTCAGTGTTTGCGTATTCTGTTCTGTTGTGATCTGTTCTTGCACATTCTGTTCTTCTGTGTTTTTTCTTTGTACATTAAAATTTGGTGCTTGTGTGTTTTGCTCTTGCATTATGTTCTTCTATTATTCAGTTCTTGTATTATGTTTATTAATGTTTTGTTGGTGTACAATAAAGAGTATTGTATTGTATTGTATGTTTTTCTGTGTTAACTTTTATAATCTGTACAATTTAATTTAGTCCTTGTGTATTTTTTTTCTGTTTTGACTTCCGCACTCTCTTCTTCTTTATGATCTCTTTGAGCATTCAGTTCTTGTGTATTCTGTTTTGGCATGATCTGTCCTTGTGTGCTCAGTCTTTGTATGGTCTTGTGTATTCTCTCTTTTCATGTACTGTTCTAGCATTTTTATTTTCAGTCCCAGTTATGGACAGGCAGTGATGGACATGGTTGTACATTACTGGATTACGCTATAATTTTTTTAAATATTTCAAGAATAAAACGTAACATATTATTGTCAGAGCTCATAGAATACAAAATTGGCGAATTTGTTAAAAAATCCAGTAATGAACAAAATATACATGACTAGGTAGTAACATGTTAGTATATCCAGTGTTAAACATAGCCCTTAATTGTTTATTACTCTTTCCGTTTTAAAATGTGCAAGGTTACATTACAATTCTTGATGTACCCCTAAAACACGAAATAGACAGACGTTTAATAAAATATGCATAACTATTTCAGAAAAAACGTAATTGTTGAACTCACCAGAATCATGTTGCTTGCTTTTTTGCACTCTTCCTGTGAACGAACAAAATATCTCACGTACTGTCAAACGAAAAATATGGCTTCGGTAGGGTGTATCACTCGTGAAGAATATTGCCACTTATAAGAAATATTCATAGTTTGGCTATTTTTGATAGATAAAGAACGAAATTTCCATCACGGGTGCACTGTCCACTACGGGTTCAGTTACCTTATGCTAGCATTTGTTAGCCACAGGTCGTTTCCGAACTCGGTAAAGAGAACTGCAACCGCCGCATCATCCTCCATCTTACACCGCACACAGAACAAAAGAGTTTTTAGAGCAAGAAAACATAGAATTATTAGACCATCCGCCGTACAGCCCCGACCTAAGCCCTAATGATTTCTATACTTTCCCTAAAATAAAGAATAAATTGCGTGGACACAGATTTTCATCGCCTGAAGAAGCTGTGGACGCCTACAAAACGGCCATTTTGGATACCCCAACTTCCGAATGGAATGGTTGCTTCAATGAGTGGAAAAATGTGTCAAATTTCGCGGAGAATACTTCGAAAAGCAATAAATATATTTTTAAATAGTAATGTTGTGTCACTTCCTTGATTCCCAAAATTTTCAGTGCCGCCCTTGTATGTACTTGTATGTTCGACAAAACAATGAAGTTTAGCTACAGCGAGCACGTTTATAAAATGTAAAAAACTAGCTCGCTGTTTATTTGTGGCTGCGGAGAAGCTCGCGCTCTTTAAACACGTTATTATTTAATATCTTCAACTAAATAAAAACGAAAAAATCACGAATGCTTGGAAAACTGCATTATAAGGTAAGCCAACAAAAAATAATTACGTAATGATTATTATTCTATTTAATGTATCTAGGGAAACAATAAAGTTAAAGCTTGGTTATGTCAATTAAACTCGTTCTAGTTAAAAGTTGTAATACGATTTTAACGCCATCTAACGATCATTATAGTGGATAGAGTGTGCTGTGTATGGAAAACTAATAAAGCGTATTAAGTTAGTGAACGCACAGCCTAATAGATGTAAGTTTAATGTAAGTTGATTAGTTGAACAAACAATTACAAAAATTTCCGCTGTAAATTTAAAGAAGGATAAGAACTTTTAAGCCAAATTTTATCTTTAATAATTTCTCAAGTTGAATTACCATACTTTTCTTCTTTATTTATAAGATTTTTCAGATTATAAACTTTTTCTTAAAAGTTATGTAATGTGATATCGGGAGTTGAGATCAATTTTGAAGCCTAGTAATAATATATAGAACCTCAAAGGCATCTTAACGACCAATCTGATTCTAATGAACACCAGTCCATTCGCGGTGTTTATCGGAATCATGAGATTTTTTAGCCTGTCTCACAGTCGCCTATTACAACACTCACAGTACCTACATATGTATTTTACACCGCGATCACACCGCAAGACATTATATGAACGTTTTATTTCTTATACTAAAATAATACCTGCAATAAGATAATATACTTCAAACTTCTTATCTAATTTAATTGGTCCGAAGAAATTATTGCATGTACATCAGGGGGCCCTTAATTGTCCTTTAAATTCTTTTGCCTCATTTACATTCAGCCCTGTTGGGCAGGGAAGTGAGCAGGGCAGTGGACAGGGCAGTATGTAAACAGGCTACTCGCGCGGACACTGCCCGACGATCCCTTAAATGTCGGTTTTTCGAGCGGAAGTCAAAGGACGGGCAGGCGAGCGGCAATGAGTGTTCACCACGGAAGTATAGACAAACTGGAACCCACACCAAATATCAACATTAGGAATAACCAAATGGCCTCAAATAACCCCTGTTTTCCGTACAGGATAGCCAACGTGACGGCTGATATTACCCCATTGACAGCGATTATGAATTTCAATATAAATTTAATTGTTTGTATGGCAAGAATTATAAGTCAAAAATGATAAAAAAACTCGACTAAACCGATTTTCAAGCAAGTGTTTGCTTTTTCTTTTAAACACTAAATAAAGATTTACGATGAACTATTTGCCTAGCCTCCCAATATTTCCCCTATTTTATAATTATTCTTAAAAGCCGTTATATGTCAACCCAAAATCTATTTGTCAAATAATTTTTACCATAGAATTAATAGGCGTAGAACCGCAGCAGGCGCACGCAAAGTGAAGCCGTTTCAAGTTAGCCTTTTAAGGCTAAAGGTGCGCTTACACGGGCAACTAAAATTGCTCAATTCCAGTCAATACTCGTCAACTATGACGTTACGACTACTTCAAGCAATTTACGGCAACGGCACCAAGCATCAATACTGCGCAATACTAATAATAATAGAAGTTGAGCGATATGGCGCAACTTCATCAACTAGGCAATACTGTCCTACACGAGCATTTCAGTATTCGCTCGCTATGGACGACATTGTTCTTGCTGCGGCGGCTTGTAGCGCTTATTTATTATTAATCAAAAACAAAAAAAGAAAGAAAAGGCCTATGTGGGTGCGATCGTTTTTGGCAAAGAGGCCGCAATTTTCATTGTGTAAAGAATTAGATGATATATTATTCAAAAACTTTACTAGAATGTCACGAACAGACTTTGAATTACTTTTGAACAAAGTCAGCCCATTAATTACGAAACAGACGACCAACATGAGAGAATCAATTTCTGCATCAACAAAACTTGCTTTTAACCCTTTTTAGCGATTTCCGACCTCTCGCTCTCCCCGCGGAAGCAAGACGGCAAGCCGCAAAAGAATCAAGTGCGAATGAGATATGTACAAAAATTGCTAGGAATTTCCAAGCCCATTGGATATTCGTCAATTCGTATCTGCGACATTGAGCGATATGAAATATCTGGAGCAATTAGAAGCAATATCGCCGAAATATTGCCGCAATTTGCTCCATTGCTTTGAAATTGCTCCATTAATTGCTCCAGATCGGTCCATTCGTGTCGTCGAGCAATTATTGCCCTCGTGTAAGCGCACCTTAAGTACGACTTTGAGCGTGTGAGCGTCAGTAGTCAGTACTCGAGTCCAGGTAGTCGTGTAAAGAGCTCGCGCAATTTTGCAAAAAACAACTTACTGTGGTTTGAAAGGGTGTCACAACTCATCACATAATCATGAAAAAAAAAAATCTAAAAATTCATTTCACTGGTAATTACTGCCTATAATCTTATATTTTTGTACAAAAACATTCATCAAAACAAAATAATAAATCTTAAATTTGACAGACGCCAATATAATGAAAATGTTGCTAGGCATAGTAAAATATTTTACAACATATTTTCTTATTATTATAATTACATACTGCCAATATGGGACTATTATTGTTGTATTTTTATTTGACAAATAAAAATACCTACAATATTCACGCATGAGTAGTTTTAGTGATTAGTAGGTATTTTTAATTTCCAAATACTATTAGGGTTCTCACTTGGCATGAAAAAATTAAGTTGATTTTATTTTGTTTTGTTAATGTGCAGTTATTTTTACCTTTTTTATAGTATATGTTTTAGGATAAGTAACTTACCCTATGAATATTTTTTTAAATTCTAATACTGATTTACATATCTTTAACATTTCCAAAAAAGACGTTACCTTTTGGCACTAGCCAACTGTGGTGTATTAAATTAGGTAAAGACAATATTTAACGTTTAGCCAAAATAGCACAAAAATATTAATTTATTTTGTTTTAATGAAGTGAAGTTGATAATAACGTGAGTGTTATTGCCAATTTAAATGTATTCGTTTTTAGATTTTCGTCTGGTCCGACTATTGCTGCTCAACACAGACCACCCAGCTACGAGACATGAAACCATTACGATTTTCTAATTAAATTAGTCTGTCAAGATTATAAGAAAGAAAGGTGTGCGGGCTGCACGTAAGATGTAACTTAGAGATGTGTCACATCCATATATCGTACGCGTAAATATGGGAGACTATGAAAACGTAACTTAATTATAAACAAATGTAAATGCGTAAAATACACCGTTTAATACATGTAAAGTTCTTGAAAATATATACGCGTATTTTACATGTCATTTACAACGCTAATCGCTTACCATAAATCCGTTAAGAGCCTAGGAAAAACACAAACATAATACATACTCTCGAAAACCATGACTTTGCTTCGGCCTCGGTAACGACTGTCAGGTGAAAATATCTACATTAGGTAAAATTAACGCAATATAAAATGTATAATGACTGTTCGTCTACATAAAAAATAATAACACAATAAATAGTCGATAAACTTACATCGATACTTTTTTGGGCATTTCTACTTACACGTGCCGCCTGCAGCCCCTCTGATTAATAGACAGAGACGCTACTATAATACTGCGTGCTTGACAAGGACAGCCTCAGAACTACGACCAAAATAC